AGTAGCGGCATACCAGTATCGCAAACAAAAACAAATCAAAGAAAGAACAATCAAAGTGATACAGAGTCTCAAGACAAAATAATGTGAATCAACCATGGTTGCTACATTACATATCGTCATCCTCAACTATGTTGCTCAGATTGCCAGATGTAAGAATGAAAGATATTAAAATTCATTTTTAGTTCTCTTAGCCTTGCTTTGAACATAGTTCTTTCTGTAATTCCCTCCAAATATCTCAACTGAATATATCACCTGTTTCCTGCTGGGTTCCTGAGACACATTGTATATGTAAGGTGCATTTAATAAATGCTACTTAAACATGTTATTGAGGGGATTACTTTATACTTAGGGAAATTTTCAGGTAAGATTGGGGAGAAAACAGTGTGCTTCATAAAAGGTATATGCAGAGAGAAGAGCAGAATGAGAAACACTTTCAGTTTCCACACCCATAACTCTCTGTCTTGCTAAGGAAGCTTTGACGTCTCTCCCCACCCTCCCAAATCCTATACCCCTTTCAAGCCCATTTGTATCAGTACTCTTTTCATCTCCTTCTGTCACTTACCTTCCAAGGCCACAAAGTGAGGGAGGTGCAGAGCAGCCACAGCTCCCTGCTCAGCCTTGATATCAAAGAGAGGTCCTGCCACCCTCCAGGTGTTCTGTAGGTCATTTACACTCAGGAATTGGTCCCAGGCACAGAATTCAATCTCAATGGTCACTCCCCTTCTCACCACAAAGCCCAGACATATGTTGGTCCAGTGGTAGTAGCCAGGCACAGGGAAGTGAACTCTGGGAGGAAAAGGAAGAAGCAGACTCTGAATTATGCAAGTTTACAGAGTGCCTGGAGAATACCTGACCAACACAGGGATTTGTGGATCAGTGGAGAGGTGGCAATCCAACTACAGAGCCACAAGGATTTGGGTTTGGGTCCTGGCTCATGTGAGCTCTAAATGTGGATACTGGAGGAGGTGAATTCCAGTCCTTAATCCGGTTTTGTCATATGAAAACAGGAATATTACCAGCACTCATACCATAGATTTATGAGTAATATGTGACCTAAGGTTAAGGTGAGAGCTTAAAGCAATGTTGGGAGCAGTGTGTTATTCTTAGTTTGATGACAATGAAAAGTAGGTGATGAAATAGGCACTTGTATTTCTTAGAATGGCTTCTTGATCATTGTAATATTAGTTATAACCCATGGAGATGAAAACAGTGCTTTTCAGGGGACTTTAAAGGACTTTCTTAAGACTCTCCTCATGGTTAGTGGTGGAGGAGACAGATGCTAGTTTCTGCAAGTGGATATTGGAAGTGTGATTATCTCCCAGATGAGACAGGAACTGTGACAGTCTGGTGTGTGGTAATGTGTTATCTAAGAAGGAAATTCATTTCTTAGGAGACTAGACACTTGGAGGGCAGGGCTACCACACAGGCTTTAGTGTTCCCAGTTACTACTAGGGTTAATGAATGAGTAGGGCAATAATAGCGACTACTAAAACACGCATATACAGTATGAGAAATTTAAATGAGATTTAAGAGAAACAAAGCAAATATAACACGTGGACCTTGATCATATCATGAGTGGAATGAATTACTAAGAAGAACACATTTGAGAGAATTGGGCAAAACTGAACAGACAGTGGGTTTAGATGATATGAAAGAATATCAGCCTTGCTAGGTATCATAATGGAACGGTATCTATGGAAGAAAAGCTGCTTTTATTTTTTGAGATGCATAATGAATAATTTAAGACTAAAATCACCTCAAATGATGGATTGAAAATACCCTAAAAACAGGAAAAGCGGAGAGAGAACAGTTGAAATGAATTGAACAACACTGTGGCTGAAGGTGGATTATAGGGAGACCCTATTTTGGTGTATACTTGAATATTTTTATCCAAAACGTCTTTTTCATTATTGAAAACACTCAGCCAGCATCTTACTGATGCTGAAAATCATGCTGATTTTCCAGGAAGATATGAACCAGTGGAGATGGTGGGGAGCACTGTCTGTGGGGACCCAGTGTGGGGAGTGTGGAGGGTAACAACAGGCTTGTCAGCCAGAACCTCTCACTCACCGCCACAGGCTCCTGTCTTTGTCAACCAGCTCTATTGGCAGAGGCCCTATGGGGCCACAGAAGTACTCTCCAGTGTCCAGAGTCTCCATGTGCAGGTCACCTATAGAGTGAAGAAAAGACATATGGAAGGGTTCCTCCTGAGCTACCTGTGGAGACACTCTGTGTGTGACAGAAAGGCAAGTGGTTAGTTCTGAGTTCTCCTGCCTGGTTTCCCACATTAGGTCCATGGTGGGGCTTGTCCTGGAGGCTGCCCAGCCTAGTCATGGCAGAGAGTATGCCTGCAGCCTCTTTCTCTGCTCCTGAGGTTGCTGCTCTCTGCAGACATCCTTTGCTCATCTACACTTCCTCACTAGTCTAGAAGTGTCACTCTTCCCAGCATGTGCCAGGTTGGTGAGTTGAGAGATAAGCCTGACTCAAAAGACAGATCGGCAGACAGGGATGGGGAGTGGATTGTCAGGCCTCAGCAGCTCAGCATGAGCAATCAATGCTGTGATGCATGGTCTTGTCGAAACCACAGACATAGGAATGGGCAGTGTCAGTTCCTGAGACTGAGACAACAAAAATCCTTTTGAGGTAGGATAGAAATAAAAGGTACATAGAAAGGAGAGAAGGAAATCATATGTAAAAAATTTTACTTTAAGAATTCTGCAACTTCCATGGCTCAGTTCAGAACCCCCATAGTGATTTATATCAGCATTCTGTTGGTTAACTTTAGGCTCTTTTCTGCCTGACTTCGCACATTCACAAATCCTCAGGAGTACTGAAAGTCCATAATTTAGCTTAATTGAAAATGTAAAGAGCAGGAATCCAATCCTAAGATAAAAGAACAGGTTGGGGAAATTAAAAGAATGCTGAAATTATCCATCTAAAAAACTGGGCACATACATATAATATGGGCCGGTTTCTTCTCAAGAGCACGCCATACTTTCCTGGAATTTCTACTCCCTCAAGAGAAGCATTAATGTTTCCCATTACATTAACTTTGGAGGTTCTCTCTTGGGAGCCCAAAATATACTTCTTTGAATGTGTGCCTTTTAATTTCTGTCTAACAAACCTCTTCTTTTGCCTCTTATCGACTAGTCCTAAAAATTCTTTTTTGAGGGGGATGGGAGGTAGGGAACTTGCAAGCTTGTAGTAAAAGTGAGGTGGGTTAGGTTCCTGATCTGACCTTCAGGAACATCATCAGACACAATCCAGTGACACTTCCATGTTTCAGGATTAGACAATTTTACTTGGACTAGTGTCCCTCTAGGTGGTTAGTCTGCCTTGTCCCAACAAGGGTGCAGGGGGATGGAGGACATGATCTAGGATAGTGAACCCCACCCCCAGTTGAATTGGTCCCAGCACCACCCAGTTAAATACCTGAGTGTAGTCTCTGCTGCTTGAAGGAGGATGTGCTATAACTTGCTTCTCCTCCCTCCAGGTCTTCAGTAAGGATCCTTGTATCTGGAATTCTAAACATGGAAATGCTCATGTTTTCTCAGATCTCAGGGAAGCCATGGATTTCTATATGATACCCTCATTTAAAATTCAATGCACTCAAAATGAACTCCATCCCTTGCTTCTTCTGAAGTTCCTATCTGTGTGAGTGGCCCTCCATCCACCCACATATCCATGGCAGAGCTGGGGCATCATCCTGACTCCTCCCTTGTTGCTATAGATTAAATGTGTCTCCCAAAGTGCACACATGGGAAAGTTACTCCCCAGGGGAACTGTGAAGGGATCTGTGAACTCTAAAGTGTTGAATGAAGTTCTACGGCTTTGCCCTTATAAAGAGCTTACTGTCATTATCACAGGAATGCATTTGTTGTGGTAAGAATAGATTTGCCATAAATGTGAGCAGGGCCAGCCCTCTTGTTCTCTCATGTGTGTTCTGGCCCTTCCTCTTCGGCCATGGAAGGACCTGTAAAAAAGGCCATTCCAGATTTAAGCTCTTAAACCTTGGCCATCCCATCCTCCATAATAGTAAGAAATAATCTTTTTCTGATTCATCACCAAGTCTCAGATACTCTGTTATAATTGTACAAAATAAACTCAAACACTTGCCCACCCTGACAGTTGCTCATCTTGACAATACCTCCCAAAGAGCTCTCCTTTTATCCTACACTCTCCACTTCCATGGCCTCCATCCCAGTCCCAGGTCCTGGCATCTGTGGCCTGAACCACTGCAGCCTCCTTTAAAGTGTTTTCTGCCCTGTCCCTCTGCTGCCCATTTTCTACACCGTAGGTGATCTCAAAACATGAATCCAACATATCATTTCAGTGCTGATCCCTACAATATCTCTCCGTTGCTTGTGGAAGAAACAAAAAGTGTTTAACAAGGTCCAAAGGGCCTTGCTATGGGCCCTGTAACCCTCTATCCCACCTGTTCCACCTTCTTCCTACTCACTGACATCTAGAGCAGTGGCTCTCAAACTCAATCTGCTTAAAAACAACCAGGACATATTGTTTAAAAAGATTCCAATAAAGAACCATGGCCTCATCACAGAGATTCTACCTAAGCATGTCTGGATGGGGCCTCAGCATTTGCTTCTGGATGCTGGTGATGCTGCTGCTGGCTTGTGCACCACACTTAGAATAGTGTTGATTCACACACTTGGCCTCCTCCTGTTCCTCCAAGGAGCTAAGAATCTTCTCCCGCAGAGTCTCTCCTTCTGCCTGGAATCAACTCATTCTCACCCCTATTTAACCACTTCAATCTGTCAGACCTTGATTCAGCTCCTTGGGGCAAATTTACTTAGGCTGGTCAGTGTATATACATTGAGCCCAGATGCAATTGTACAAGGTTATGGGAGAATTTGTCCATGTCACCTTGTTGGACTGACCTCCTGGAAGATGATCCTCATCTGTCTTGTTCACTATTGTGTTTAAGATCACCACATAGTGCTTGATACACAGTGGTTTACAGGAAATGCTTACTCAGTGAATGAATGACTCTTGTTTAAGTCTGGGAACACTGTCCCATTCACTAAATTGAGGCACTGCAGACAGGAACTTGAAGACAGAAGAATTTCCAGGCCATGGGCCAAAATATGTCAAACAGAGATCACATGAGCACATGATCCCTTTCCCTGGGAGTGAGGGATGGACTTTCCTGCCCTGGAGCTCCATCTCAATCCTAGAGGGTGTGAACAGGTATACGTGGATGGAGAGGGTGACAGTGGTGATGGGGACATGATGGCAGTTTTTTCCCTAGCATTTCTCTGTGTCTTTGTACTTTTCTCCCCATGTAAGCACTATTTTCATTGTTCCAAATTTCTGTGTTTATTGAGGGAACTTGTACTAGTGACCAGCAGTCATGACATTATGGTGAGTCCAGAGCATGCACTCACTTTCTAAGGAGGGGTTTAATCAGGCAGGTTTTGTGGTCCTATTTTCATTGAGTAACCCAACCCCCTACATCACTCTGGTTGCTCTGTTTTCTTGGCTTCTTGCTGACTCTGTCTTCTCCCACACTCCAAGACTCTTCCCTATTTCTTAGCTCCAGACCAGACTCAGAGGCTCAGCCCTAGGCTCCTGTTGTCCAGAGTGAGTTTCAGTTCCATCGCTTACCGTCTGCTGGAGATGATCAACGGTGGTTTCTCTTGCTTCAGGGCCCTCAGCTCCTCCTCATTCAGAAGGGTGAGGTCCAGCCTGCAAAAACAATGGAAATCCAGTTCTTTTGGAATCACTCCAAGACCCCAAACTGTTCAGGGCACACCATATTGCTACCAGCCAACAGCTAAAGGAATCTGGCAACTGCTGGAGAAATCTGTTGATATTAGGTTCCCTAAATATTGACCTCTGAGATGGAGATAGAGTGACTTGGTTCATGTGCAATTTTCTTGTGCAAATATACATGTAGTGCTGACAGGAGATCAGTATGCATCTCTTTCCCACTTGGGTAAGCCTCATTCAGGAGATAAGTGCTCATAATTTGCTCATGGTAATATTTATAGAGCCTGAGCACTGGCATGTGCTTGGCTTGTTAGAGGCCTGCCACAAATATATGAAGGTGAGTAAATGAGTGAAGTGTCACTCCAGAGTGAAGTGAACATGGAAATCCTTTAGAACATCCTCATCATAAAACATCCTTGTTTTTGTATCACCCTTTTTTTGGTACTGTAGAGAAGTACAAAATCATGCCCATGGTAGGACAGTAGCATATGACTGAGCTACACCCAAAACATTTTGTATCCTCTTTATTTCATTGTGATCCATGAGTGAATATGATAGTCCCAGTACGCTGACCAGGAAACCGAGTCTTAGGGAAGATTGTCACTTGCTGAAGTCACACAATGTAAGCGGCACACCTAGGAAGAACCCAAGGCTGAGTATATTTTCATCTATTTTTCTTCTCTTGTCCCACCCAGGGAACAGAAGCACCTTACCACAGTAGTGTGAGTTGGCAGGTGGGGTTCCTGAGACCCTCACAGAGCAGCTGCACACCATAGCTTCCCAGCTCATTCTGCTGCAGGTCCAACTCACTGAGGCTGGGGCTGGTGCTGAGCACAGAGGCCAGGTCCTGGCAGCAGTTGGACGTGAGGCCGCAGTGAACCAGCCTTCAGGAGAGATGCACATGGGCACGTAGTCATTGTCTCCATCATTCACTACCCTCGTACCTGGGATCTGGCTGCCCTTTCTAGTAGCTGTAGCCCTTTGGGGTCCTGTACTGACATTAGAGGAAGACAGACTTCCTTGGCCTGTAGTGGCCTTGCAAGCCTTTGTTTTCCTCTTGCACCCCAGAGATTCCCAGGATGCACACACCCTCTCTTTCTCATTTTTGTTGGAGTCACATAAATCTTGCCCATGCAACATATCAACCTTAGATTGGTAACTTATTCATGTCCTGTTTGGATACCTAGGCTTAATTGTTAATCACTTTCAACCAGCCATGTTCCCGGTGTCGGCGGTCATCTGATGTCCAGGTAGGTTTCAACATTAAGGGCATCTCTCATTCTGGGAGAAAAGTGGATGAACTTGTGTTTTAAGAACAAAAGATGATGGATAATGTCATATATTGAATCACAACTGGAGTGTGTAGTATGTGCTGTACCACACCAGGGCCATGTCTGTTAACCTGCATGCTATGCAGAGCAGTGGTCAACTCTCTAGCCTGCCTTGTCTTATCCAGCTGGAAAGCTCCCTGCGTACTACAAGTATGACACCAGTGAATTGAAGTAGGGGACCTCTGGTCTTCTGCTGAGCTTGGGGGAGGTGCATGAGCTGCATTCTGCCTAGGACAGCCTGGATTCGCACTTTATCTTTTTTATTTTTTTTTTTAAGACAGGGTCTTGCTATGCAGTTCAGGCTCACCCTGAGCTCACTATGTAGCCCAGGCTGGCCTCCAACTCACAACGATCCACCTGCCTCAGCCTCCCAAGTGCTGGGATTACAGGTGTGCGCCACCACGCCTGGCTGGATTCTCACTTTAATAGGCCAACAATCACATGCTCAAAATGGGACAGTCCATGTTGCATGAAATACAAGGATGGAAGGACAGGTTCCTTTACTGTGTCTTTCCAGTTGAAATCCTTCTTCCCTCTTTCAGCCTCTCCCATTCTGCAGAGATCTACAGCAATGTATAGGGAAAGGGGTAACACTGGGGGTTGCTTGGAAAGGAGGCTTATTGTGGTTTATTCATTCCTGTTAAACACTCTACACGTTGATAGCACAACTATTTTAGAAGCAAAATCAGGAGTATACATAGTTATTACCTAACCATTCTCAGAATTTAGGCTACAGATAATATACCCCGTCCCTGGATATATGGAGCAACATTGGCATAGCCTGGAGAAAATCCAGATGTCATAATTGGGAGTGATTAACAAACGAATGGAGAATCCATATAATGAAATTCCATGCTGCCACTGAAAAGAATGAAACAACTTTGTGTTTACTGATGTAGACTGCTCTAAATGTATTAGAGATCATCAAACAAGGCTACGATAGTGTTTGTAATGCATTATTTATGTGAAAAAGTACTGTGTATGTGCAATGGGCTATGAATACTTGGTGTCTCTGGGACGTGCTGTCTTGGGTCTCTGCTTTGAAGCCCCAGCCCAGCTTCTGCTGCCCTTTTTTCCACAGTAGCATCTGCTTAGGGTCCAACAAAACACTCAGGGCATCATGCACAGACCAACATACAAGCTGGTCATTTACTACTTAAAGGGTCTTTGCTAAAAGAGGGCCTAGGCAAATGGCTTTGATGTGAAGCTTTAATGTCAGACTTGATTTCCAATCCTGGTAGTGCTGCTCTCTTCCTATGCAGCTTTGCGAAAATAATTTCTCTTTTGACTCAGTTTTGTCACCTTTAGATATAGTGAGTGTTCAATATTATGTGTGTGACAGAGTTCTTAGCTTTGCTGGCACTGCTGCCTCTTGATGCTGGAGGATGTCCCAATAGGCTTCCCTTGCTCTCTTCCTGTGTCATTGACCTCTTTGCTCAGAATTATTCAGTGGGAAAACAAGCAATGGCTCTGCAAAGGGAAGAACTGTGGGCAAAAAGAAGGGAGAGAAGGGCAAGTAGGACCGGAGATGTGCATACCATCCCTCAGTTCTTCAGCAGAAGCCAAAAGGAGAAACTGATGGCAGCTCTCTCAAGAGTGCATGTGTGTGTATAACTTTGAGCATTAGGGGCAGAGGTCAGGAGGGGAGAGGGAGATGTCAATAGTCCACTCCTGTTTATCTATTCTGAGGGATGTGGCTCTGTCATCCAGATGAAGACAGTAGCAGAGAACTGAATTAAGTGGACAGCAGTGAGTACAACTGTCTGTGGCTGTGACTCTGGCCAAGCAAGAGGACCTGTTATTAGGCAAATGGTGGGTGAAGACTGACAAACAGCAAATAGTACACTGCTCTCAGTACTTCAACCATTTAATCCTCTGAGGAATCTTAGAAAGTCAACACTGTTATAATCCTTCCCTGTAGTATATGGTGAAAATGGCCACAAAAATCCTACCTCCATTCCAACCTAGACTCATGCCCATTGCTAGTGATCACCCATGAAGAAACAGAATCTGCTGATCTGTGTTTAGAGTATGGATTTGGGTGACATAAGTTTTGCTTTTACAAATGGAACAATAGCCAAGGAGACTTTATGAGGGGCTTGTGAAGAACTTGGCTTTCTAGGTGCATATGGAGCCCTGTGACCACAACCCTCTATCCAGCCATGTGCGAGTTTCCACCTGAGCCTCCACAAGCCACTGACTTTCTGTGAGTTCCTTCTCCTCCACAAAGTCCTGCCCCCTTTTCTGCCCCTTTCTTTAGTCTACCAGATGTTCATCTGCTCCCTCCACCTCCCCACAATCCCTGCAAGGCAGTGTCAACAAGGGAAAGCAATCACCTCAGTCTCTGAAGTTTGCAGCTTGGATGTTTCAGACCCAGGCAAAGGTGCTGGGCTCCAGCATCTGTTAGCATGTTGAAGTCCAACTCCAGCTCAGTCAGGGTCTGGCTGGTGCTCAGACCAAAGGCAAGGTGCTTGCAGCCCTCAGCTGTGAGCCCACAGCCTGCCAACCTGTGGCAACACACAGCTATGACGTGCACGAACAATTCTTGGTTCAAAAAACATCCCCAGTACCATGGAGAACCTAGTGCAGGGCACAGTGGTGGGCTGTGTGGAGGCTGATAAACCCCATCCCTCCATGCTACCCCTCGCTCCTGGTTACAGGAAAGGCATAGGTGTTTGGGAAGCCTAGACATAGACACAAATAACAGTAAGTCATGTTTTGTTCAGAACTCCCTAAAGTTTTCCTACATTATTTAGAATAACATTTGATGTCCTCATTGGGGTCTATGTGGCCCTGACAACCTGGGTTCAGGTCATCTTTCACCTATTATCTCTTTTAGCTCCACCCTCATTGAGCTCTTTCCTGCTTGGTAACCATCCCAGCGTTGGAGCATCTGTTTATTCTTATCTCTGGAAGAATCTTACCTGATGTCTCATGGTTTGTTCCCTCTCCAGCCTCAGGTCTTAGCTCATAGGGAAGTGAACTTGGTGAAGTTTTGCTTTCACATCCTCTCTTTTCAAAATTGTATGTCTATCCCTAGAGTCCCCACTCTTTCTTTTTCATTTAATTTTTCCATCACCCACATCTCATAAGATGTATCTCACTGATTTTGTTGGCATTTTCTCCTCTTTCTCATTTGGAATGTGAGCTCCACCAGGAAAATTTTCCTCCTTCGTTACTCTCCATATACCTTTGCCTACAGCAATGCATTTCCTAAGTGTTTTATGGGTGAATGAAGGAAACAGAATTGGAAAAGAGGAAGTCAGGTGAGGCTGAAGGCAGAGGAATGAGGGACTGATTGAGACAGGAAAGTGAGGGAGTCATTAAGGTGTGGATAGAGGCAGGGGATACTCCAGCTTTCAGAACAGACCTAGAATTACAGTGCATTTTTAGTTTAATCATTGCATAAAGATAAAGTTTTAGAGTAAAATGACTTTTGCAGGTTTATTCCCCTCAAAGGTCTTATCACTGTAAGATGTGCTGTTGGGATACCACTTTCATATCCCAAACTCTCTGATGTTTTCCTCCATGATTTGTACTAAATTTTGATGTCCTCACTGAGTCTACAGGACCCTGACAGATTGGATCCAAGTCATCTGTCACTGATTATCTCTTTTAGCTGCATCCTCATTGGCTATTTCCTATTTGGTAACCACCTCAGGGTCACAGCATCTGTTCCTTCTTTGGTCTAGAACAATCTTACCTGATATCTCGTAGTTTGTTCCCTCACTAGCCTTAGGTCTTAGCCCATATGGAAGTCACCTTTGTGAAGTCTTGCTTTGACATCCTCTCTCTTCAAAATTGTATGTCTATCCCTAGAGTCCCTACTCTTTCTTTTTGTTTAATTTTCCTATTACCCACATCCTATACAGTGTAATACTGTGTATTTCACTGCTTTTTTTTTTTTTTTGGCATTTTCTCCTCTTTTCCATTTGGAATGTGAGCTCCATGAGAAAGGTTTTCCTCCTTTGTTACTATCCATATCCCTTTGCCTACAGCATGCATTTCCCAATTGTTTATGGGTGAATGAAGGAAACATAATTGGAAAACAGGACGTTGAGGGCAGCTGAAGGCAGAGGAATGAGAGATTGATGGTGAGAGGAAAATGAAGAAGTCACTAAGATGTGGATAGAGGCAGGGGGTACTCCTAGCTTTCAGGACAGGCCTAGAATTACAGTGCATTTTTAGTTTAATCATTGCATAAAGTTTTAGAGTAAAACTACTTTTGTGGGTTAATTTACCTCAAAGGGACTCAGCAGTGCAAGTTGTGCTGTTGGAATTCCCCGTTAAAATCACAGACTTTCTGATCTTAAAGTGAAAATACATCTAAAAGTTGTCCAGCTGGTGGCACAGAAAGTAATAAACCAATAAAATGCTTTTATTATAGGGCACAGAGATGACTACAGAGGAGAGTGGTGTAAAGGTGGCGAGTCTTCTGGGGGTTGGGCAGAGGGGACAATGGTTATATTTGGTCAGGCTAGAGGCAGCATTTAGGAGGTGGGCTACCTGATGTGGCAAGCTAACATTGGGTGGGAATGTGGGAAATGAGACAGGATATTACATAAAGGGGAGTAGGAAGTCATAATTTGACTCCAGGAAGAAAGGTGGGGCATAGCACATGGCCTCTAGAGGCCAGCGCCATATTGGCCATGGCATATAGTCTCCAGTGGGTGGTGCCACGTGACTCTAAAGGAATTATACTAGGAGAAAAACTCCATCAGTGTCATGAAGCTACTGAGGAGGCTGAAGATAACTGAGTGAAGGCAGTGAGTGCAGTGGGCTGTGTAAATGCTCTGGAACCAGCAAACCACAGGATCAGATCTCACCTTTTTCAGGTACTACTTGAAGATTATGGGTAGGTTTTCTCATCTTCAAGTCTAATGTATTTGCCTGTGACATGGATTCTCTAAACCTATTGAAGGGAGGTCATGTGTGTCCTGTACTTGGGAGAGTGTCTAGCAGGAGGGCAGTGCTTAGGGCTCTCTGCTGCTGTGGGACCATAAACTCTCAATATCCCTGAAGCTCTGAGCTTTTTACTGAGTCCTTCTCTATCCCTCTGTCCCAGATGATTGCAAGGGTCTTTAGTGAGTGTCTTTCTTTCCAGGTCCTCCTACCCCTGCTCTGACCTTTATTCTCTTCTGAATCCTCTTTATCTATGTAATATGCTAGATTTCAATTCATCACAAAGAAAATCTCCAGAATTCTTGGTTTCTAGCTTATTCATGTTTTTCAAGAGAAATTCAAAAGTGAAATAAAAAGAGTGAAATAGGGCAGACGTAGAAGAACACTGCAAATCTTAGGTTTGTATGAAATCTCGAAAAGCCCAGCACACAGAAGCAGAGCATAGAATGCTGGGAAGGAGATGAGCGGGAGGCAGGAGATCCTGTTCCCTCTGCTTGAAACTTGCTCCTCCCACCCCTGCTTCTCTTGGTCCAATCCTCTGTTTCCTTTAGTTCTCTTTCAAACCACTTCCACAGGGAACTCTAGGCCTGTTGTTACCCATGTGTTAGTACAGTTTCTTGATTAATGTCAGTTGCTCTCTAACTACATGAGAAAGGAATTTTGCTTTTGATAGTTTCCCATAGCAGCCCCACCATCTGTCACTTTGCGAGGTCAGTGAGGCTGTGGATAAATATCTGATGAATGCACAGACCAAACCCACATCCTAGACTCAGCTTCTATCTTCCTTTTCCCACCCAGCCTGCTCCAGAGGAGAACCAAGTCCAGACTCACCGCAGGGTCTTCAGGTGGCAGCGAGGGTGACCCAGGGTCTCACCAAGACTCTGCACAGCAGACAGACTCAGTGGATTTCCACTTAGGGCCAACTCTTCCAGGCTGCCAGTGATCTGGAGAACAGAGAAGAGAACCTTCCAGCTGGCATCAGTGAGTGGTGCCCACGTGGATCTGAGAGGGAGGAAGAGGTGTGAGCTGCATGTGCAGGATCTGAGGTGCACAGCCATGTGTCAGAGTGGGGCTCAGTCCCTTGCACACCAGGCTGCTATGCACAGCAGTGCGACCCAGGGCTGAGCTGCCTTTCCCCCTGCAATTTTATCCTCCACTGTAGCTAGGTTTCTCTTTTGTGTGTGACTCTTCATTGTATAGCCTTTGGCAGTGCATGCTGTTGTGTCCATTGTATGTGTCTGCTTTTGACTCAGTGTGGGTGTTCCTCACAGTTGGATGCCCCATAATGGGATGTTGCGGATGATCCTTACAGTGCTGTGCATGTTGGTTGCATGGATCTTTATACCTTTCTGGGATAGCCAACTCACAGAGATGGTCCAAATTTAGAAATGGCAAAGCAGGAAGTTTTAAAAATTCATCTTAAAAACTTTTATTACTGTCTTTATTCTGTATATAATGATCGCATTCATTGGGGGAATTTATACAAGTACATAGTATATCTTAATTTTTCCCTTCCTTTCCCCTTCCTTGCATCTGATCCTCTTCCCCTCTCCATTTCTAAAATTTCTTTCCATTTTTGTTTCATTTGTTATTTTTGAATCCTTTTCCATGCCTTCCTTTCTTCCTTCCTTCTCTTTACTTCCCTTCCCATTTGAACATATTCTTCCTACTTCCCAATTTCTATGCATCATTTTGCTCTTTATTTACCCTTAGGGTTTCTCACACAAGAGAAACAATGTAATATTTGAACTTGTGTATCTGTTTTATTGCAGTTAAGATTATGGTTTCAAGATGCATCCATTTACCTAAAAATGTCTCAAGTTTATCCTTCTTTATGGTAGAATACTAATCCTTTGTATATAAACACCACACTTCATCCATTCATCTGTTGACTGGCATATGGGCTGTTTTCAAGATTTAGCTATTATAAATTGCAGTGCTGTAAACATAGGGATGCACTTATCACTATGGTATGGTCACTTTGACTCTTTCAGTACTAGAAGGGTAATAGCTGGATCAAATAGACCCTCTAGTTTTGCTTTTTGTGGAATTGCCATACTGATTTCCTTAGTGCTTGTACCAATTTACACTCTCACTGATGATAGAGAAGAGTCCTATTTTCCCCATAGCCTTGCCAGCATTTTTTATTGGTTGATTTCTTGATGGTAGCCATTCTTTCTGGAGTGAGATGGAATCTCAGTATTGTTTTAATCTGCATTTCTCAATGGCCCATAATGTTAACTATCTTTTATTTGTTGGCTGGTTGCACTTCTTTTCCTGAGATGTGTCTATTTACTTTAGATGCCCATTTTTGGATCATGTCTGTGAATTTGGGGGTCTAAGTTTTTGAGCTCTTTATGTAGTCTATATATTAGACTTTTGTCTGAGGAGTAGCTAGAAAATTTTTTTCTCATTCTGTAGGTTGTCCCTTCACTCTATTTGTGGTTTCCTTTGCTGTGCAGAAGCTTTTCAATTGATGAGATCCCATTTTTTATCCTGTTTATTATTTCCAGTCCAAATGAGATTTTGTGCATAACATCTTTGCCTAAATATATGTCTTCAAGAGTTTTACCTATTCTATCTTCCAGCAGATTTTTTTCAGCTTTAATATTTAGGTCCTTGATCCATTTGAACTTTAATTTAGTACTCTGAGAGATACAGATCTAAGTTTAATATTTGGCATGTGGAAAGCCAGTCTTCCCACCACCACTTTTTAAAGTGGCTATCTTTCCTCCAGTGAAGGTGTTTGCCCTGGCAAAGGACATTGTTGTAGGAGAGAATATTTGGAGCCAGAGTGGGAAGGATCATGGGTATCACGTGAGAGTGCTAGTATAAACACAGCCCTGTATGTTTTCTACTCAGTTTCTCCACTTTCAGGTACTACTTTAGTCACCTCCTCTGCTTTGAAGCATCAACTCTTCAAAATCTTTTTCAGTCTTCAGACTGATATTTCAAGTTTCTTGCCAGACGAATTTCTTGTGACTTTTAGTAACTCTTGTAACTATTAATTTCCACTCTGTCCCAATCTTATTTCATCTTTCCCAAGCTTGCAGAGCCATGCAGAGTTGAGAAACAGAGGCTCTGGAGCCAGCTTCCTGCACATGAGTCCCCTTCCTGTGCCTGAGAGCCTCCTTCATTATAAAAGCAGGACAGGTGTAGTACCAGCTGCCCCAGAGGATTTTACAAAATGACAGTGTGTTGCAGGATCTCCCAACGTCTTCCTGCATTTTAATTTTAATACCCTCAGTGGAGTAATGTACATAGGCATACAAAATGTGGAAGGTGGCCAGTGATGAGTGAACTAGAGTTCACTAGAATAAGCAATATTCAAATTTCATAAAATTAAATATGTTTAGAAGAAATCAGTGGATGTATCTTAAGACCACAGTACTAAAGGAAATAAGTCAGATACACAAGCATAAATGTTGTATGGTTTCTCTTATATGAGAAACTCCAAAAATATATAAATGTGGAGCAAAACAGAATAGAGATGGAGAGGAAGTAGGGAGATCTTTTACAAATGGCAGAGGGGAACAAGACACAAAGGTAGGGAGGAAAGTGGTAGGAAAAGGGGATTAAAAAAAAGTAAAAAAATAAACAATTTTCAAAGGATGGTAATTATTTTTTCTTTTTTGTGTTGTACTCCAGGTGGAACTCAGGGCATGATGCACACTGTGCAAGAGCTCTACAACTGAAGTGCATCCCAAGCTTAGTTTACTTTTTATTTTGAGACAGGTTCTCACTAGATAGCCTAGACTGGCCATGAATTTGTGATCCTTTTGTTTCAGCTTCTGGATTGCTGGGATTGTAGGCATGTGTAACCACATCCAGCATGAAAGAATGGCTTTTTTGATGCATGAGTTGTGCTTATATTGATTGGAAGAAAAAACTAAAAATGTATTATTCCAAAAGCATGAGGCTTAATCGACTGGAAATCACTCCCTGTGTCATCTTGATTGCCCTAATATCTCTAGTTCGTTCTCCTTTACCTTCCCACAGCATGACCAGTCTTCACAATTTCTTCCTGCACTTTTCTGCTCATGCACAGTAACTGCTGGACTGATGTCCCTGCCTTGCCTGGCTGACTCAGGGCCTCTCCATCCCCATCCCCACTTGCAGCAGAGGGTCTTGAGTTTCTACAGACTGAAGACTGGGGTCTTTAGACTCCATTTGCTACCATCCTTTTCAAACTCTCTTACTCTGCCCTGGTGTTCTCTTATCTGCATATGGCCTTGGCGTTTGCACCTGCTTGGAACTCTTTCCAAGGACCCATGCCAGGCCACTGTCACTTACAACCCCTGCATCTTGTTTCTCCAAGGCCAATGTCAGGTGTAGAGCAATGAGCATCTAGAAACAGCTAGAGACAACCTAAAGCACCAGAGACAGGGAAATGGTCAAATTCTGCATCAGAACATTACTTAAGACCATGTCCTTTCTGTGGGGAATATTATACAACTATTCAAATTGGTGGTGTGTTTGACTTCTTGATAATAAGAGATGACCTTGATACATTAAGAAAATAATGCTGATTACAAGATAAAATGTGTAGTATGGCTTAATTTTCTCTGAAAAATCTCCATTAAAAAAGACTAGAAAGATATACTTCAATTCTCAATGATGGTTATTCCTGAGTAATAGAATTCTGGTTGGTACAGATTTCATATCTTGCTTATCTATATAGCCTTATATACCTATAAGGAACACAAGTTTTACTGTAAGAAAATGTTTAAAAATCTGAAAATGAAAGGTGTAATACTGCTTCTTTTGAAAATCTCTCCTTTTCTAGTCTAGTTAGATAATCATTCCCTTCTTTGGGTAACCATGTCATTTTGTCATACCTGTGATATTGCAGGTGTCACCCTATTGCAATTATTGGATGGATGTCTATCTATTCTCCCAGTCTTCATTTCCTTAGGGCAGGGATTGTGTTTGTGTGTGTGTGTGTGTGTGTGTGTGTGTGTGTGTGTGTGAACTTGTGTGTATTGTAATTTGTGATATCTGACTCAGTGGTGTTTTATTTTATGTTTTCTGTGCTGGGACAGAGCTCAGGTCCTTTCACAAGCTGGGAGAGCTCTCTGCATTGAGTGATATATCCAGTCCCAAATCAGTGTCAAATGAATATTTATAGAATGAATTACATAAGGAGGGACAGTCTCACACTTATACTGAGTGATCAATATTGCAATGTAGGCAGGGAGCTTGGACATGGAAATTCAGTGTTGCTCGGACTGGAGGGGTGTTAATAAAATCTTTAGATGTCAGTTTTGTAGGGAAAAATAGAAGACTTCCTCTGAGACACATGCATTCTGAGGTGATAAAGGAAGATCTCAGGGCCAGTGTCATTGTCATGGAGGTTCTGAAACAGCTGAAGGCAAAATTTCTGAGGGAAAAAGTATGTCACAAGAGGAGGAGTCAGAGGGCTCCTTGGTTGTTGGAGAGGGTGGACACCATGCGAAGGTAAATGTGAAGATGGCAGTGTCCATCAGAGAAGGTTTACAGGTTTCACAGTGGTAGGAAGAGAGGCAGTAGGAAAAGGTAAGGCTCTGTCACAGCGTGAGTCATGCAGAGCACCCAGGGTGACAGAGAACGGTAGTCAGATTGGGCAGTAAAGAGTCACAGATGACTTCCAACCTTCATTCTTAGTACCAGTATTAGTGAACATGCTTCTCTGCTCAGGGCATGTAGTTTCATGGAAGAACAGAGGAACACAGAGAAGGATGTGGACAGGATACTCACACAACTATCCCAGGGAGCCTCCGTCCTCCTTTCTGCAGTTCACTGTCATTCAGTTGAAGCCACTTCAGGTTATTGCAGAATTTAACACAGAAAGTGACCAGCAGGAGTTCCTTATCTGTACGGACACACACCCTTGTATCCTGGAAATGAGCCATTTCATGTGTTAGGAGCTCCTCATTTTGAGTTTCATACAAACAGTGGAGGAAGTTCAGAGAGTATTGTGGCTTAGGTAGGGCCTCCTTCTTGATGTAATTTAGCACTTCCCATATCATTCTGGGAGGCAGCTGGCAGGTGAAGATCTTCTCCATCTCTTTGATCCCCTGGTCACTTAAAAGGCCAGATAGGAAGCACAAGTTTGGTGTTCTGAACAGGTCATTCCACAGTTTAATTTCTAGCCACTTTAACCATCTGATACTATATTTGTATTTATTTAAATGCTCTGCGTTTTCCAACAGAGAGGACACTGAGGCAAAGAACTCCTGGAAGATCTGATGAGTGAAGCTGTAGTTACAAGTATCAGGGTGTTTTTGAAGAAAGCCCAATTTGGTGATGATGGCCCCTTCTAACCCGTGCTTACTGAGATCATCTGAATGGAAGAGGGTCATTCTTCTCCAGGTGCACTCAGCAGCCAGAGAGCACAAGCCCCTAACCTGGGCCACTGGGAGCCGAGCTGGGATGGCCTGGGAGAGGTAGTGGAGAAAGAGGGCTGTGGTGGTCTGAGAGGTCAGGGGGTGTACTTCTCCCTGCTCCATCTGTTGCTTCAGGCAGGTGCAGACCAGCCAGCACACCCAGGGCACAAGACACTGTGTCCAGAGCAATGGGTTTGGTTCAACCAAACTAAAGGCTGTATTTGAGTGGCTTTCATCTGTGAAATAGTTCTTGAAATAGTCCTTCCTTCCAGAGTCAGAGAAGCCTAAGACTTCCACCCAACGTGGCTTCTGCCAAAAATGACAGAACATTTTTAGAGATGTGGCCCGAACTGTGATCAGAAAGAAAGCCCTGTAATGTAAAACTCCCCGTAGTAAATGGCTCAACACTGTGGGTCCTGGATGTGAGTGTCTCCCTTGAGGATGGTGCTCAGAATCTAGATCCTCCCATTTTGATTTTGGCTGATCCATGTTGTCCAGAATGAAGAGCACCTGTGCTGGACAAGACAGGATGTCCTTGATGGGGACTACAGTGGAAGCCCAGTCTGTTGCAATCAGCTCCTCCAGGCTGTTTACACTGTACTGGTTCAGGTCTCTGCAGTTGAAATAGAAGACATACCGGAAGCGGTCCCTGAATAGCCGGCCTTCCTCCCAGGCTCCTCTCACCTGCCTGGCCAGGGTTGATTTCCCAATTCCAGCAGCCCCATACAGTATTACTATGTGAGGTTCTTTCTGGGTGCTTGGGCAAGGCCCAAATAAGTCTTCAATCTCAATCAAATCTCCTTGCTCCACTATTGAGTCACGAATCCAGTTTTCACTGGCCAGGTATTTTTTATCTCTTATGTGAGGTGTGCATAGAAGCAGCAGCTGTGTGAATTTTTCATGGAAATATGTAGTTTTCCAGGACTGTGTTGGGCAGGGCTCCTCACTTAAGTGGGGAAAGTCGACTGGTTCAGTTCCTAAGTGACAGAAGTACTGAACTTAAAGTTATGAAGTAGGGGGATTCATTCCTTCATTCACAAAATCATTCATTCATTCAACAACTTTATCAATTTTATAAATCACTCCGAGTGACAGACACTGCACTAGGATGTTCTGGTCAATGCAGTGGACAGGAGATGGACTCTGCAATATGCATTAGTTCAATGCTTCACTTGATTAAGTCCCATTCCCTGTATGACTTCTTCCATTTTCAAATTTATCAAGGGTTTACTAGATTCCAGATATTTCTCTAAGGAGTGGGAAAAAAGAGTAAACAAACAGAGACAACTCTTTGGCTTGATTAAGCCCGAGCTTTGGACCAATAGTCCAACCAAACCTGTGTTTTCTCCTCTGTACCTCAGAGCGTGTGATACGCCCCCTGCAGGAGGCCCTGTGGTGAGCAGTGAGAGTGGGGAGAGTGGAGCAGATGCTGCTGGTTCCTCACAGCATCCCCTCAGTCACTGCCATTTCAGGTCTTACCAACAATGTCCTTCTGTAAGCTCCTGTCATTGTTGCTCTGAGGAGCCATGAGACCCAAAGGCAGGGTGCAACAGAAATGCTGGGGAGGTATGCTCTGGGGAGAGATCTCCACAGAGGACCAACTGAGGTCCTCTGCACCAAACTCACACAACTCTGAGGCATGTTGCACATTGTGCCCAGACATCCTCAGGAGCATGACACTTCTGCTGCTGGTATGGGTTGGTGGTACATCGTTTGTGCAAATACGTTAAATTTTGTTTGCCAGTGGTAGCAGTGTTAGGCAGGGCATAGAGAAAAGCATTTTGGGTCATGAGGGTGCACGCTTAATGAATGGATTAAGGTTTGAAGGCTTTCTGACCTATTTTTTCTCTTCTGCAGACACTTGGTTTCCTTCGTTTTTTATTTTTTGCCATACATGGAGCTGCATAAGCTCTTCACCAGAAATTAAGCAGATGTACTCATTTGACTTTGGAATTCCAGCTTCTTGAACTGTGAGAAAAATAAACCTGTTCTCTTTTAAAGTTACACAGTCTCAGTTATTCTGTCACACACATTTAAATTAGAGTAAGATAATATTTTGCATGTGTGAACTGCTCCATAATGCACCTTTGCTAGGCTTCCTTCTCTTCTGCCTCATATCCCCTCCCTCTATTAGTGCATCCAGAAATCGCCTCCCTAATAAACTACCAGCATACATCTCCCATCTCAGAGTTTGGTTCTGATAGAACTAAATTTATGGCAGATAGGAAGACACCTGGTGAACTGTGAAGAGCTGAGCTTGCATTTCAGTCAGATTCCAACTGTTACAATTGTAAAAATCCTTTTTGATATTTTTCATCTCCAATTTTTGAATGCCTCTCACTTCTCCCTTTAGATGAATTTTAGCATGATGCAATGACCTGCTGGGGGTGTTGGAGCCTAAACAGTCCCAGGTAACTGTGCAGGTACATCCAGAGTTCTGTATTTCTGCCTGTTGTGCTTTTACAGGTACACTTGTGAAGATCTGGGTAGAACTTGGAGTGTGGGGTCAACTGGCCATTTCAGGCCCTGGGAGACTGAATTCAGAGGGATCTCTTTTATATAACATAATGATCTATATGCAATTCTTTATGCAAATCTATATGCAAATCTCCCTGCAATTCTTTCAGGGAGTACAGGGTGCATTAGGTAGGACGATTTTGAGGAATCGATTGTGGTCAGGGGCACGTGGCTGTCCCTATTTCAAATAGCAGTGAGGTTACACTTGCCATCCTAGTGAAGGGGGTTCATACTTGTTGCTGGGTACAATTTTCTTGGGCTCTGAAACACTAACTATGCAAGGTGGGAGCAGAGGGGAATTGCTCTGTTTTAGAGAAGGGAAAAGCTGGAAAGGTGGGTTATGGCCATTGTAAGGGCAAGGGAGAAGAATGCTGATGGAGCCATAAAAGGAAGGTATACGGGAAGAGGTGTGAGCAATATAACCCTCTTGTCATATCTTTACGAGAGATTTTGCCCAGACTTTTACTCAAGGGCATATTTTGTGCACAGTTTACTGAAGTAGAAGTTCTGTCGAGGGGAACACTGGTCGTGTGTGGAGTGTAAAGGAGGTAGTAGGAAGGCTCAGATAAGGAAAATGAGAACCAGAAGGGTAGAGTGACTTGTTCCACATCACACATCAAGGGGTGATTTCAGAGGTAAACTTGAAGGCAGTGGAATTACCACCATTTCCAGGGGTTGGGGCTGAGAGGGATGAGATTTGGTATGGAAGGAAGGGGACTATGAGGGAGGGAGGTGGGACTTTTACAACGTAGTGTCAGGGTAGAGTAGAAAATCAGTTGCCCTGGCATGGAATGTCTTAGGCTCAAGCCCAGCTTCTGCCTTAAGTGCTTGGTGAGCTTGAACAAGTGAACTTCTCTGTGTAGCCCTCTGCACTCAGAAGAGGTGGACACTTTGAAGGTGGCACAAGAAGAGGAACAGACAAGGATGTAATGGAGGTTTGTTGTCTGGGACTTGCTGACTTAGGTGGGAGACCAGGGAAATCAGGTGAAGGGATTGTCTGGTGCTGAGGAATGAGCCCAGCTTCTTCTTGGAATCTATCAGGAGAACGGAATCTTTTTTGAAATTTCTGGGCCACTCTGACCTTAGGGATCATCAATACCCACAAAATTATGATGTGAACTCTGCCTGAGTTGGGTGAGACACTGTCACACCCTCATGGGTCGCAGGTAATCCATCTGTGAAATTGATGGGGGAGCAGTCTCAGCACACGTAAGTCCCTGAAAAACTGCTTGTAGCTTTGTTATACTCACCACCTACTCATATCTCCACCCTTGCTCTACGGTCCTCCAGCCCAGGTCCCATGAGGTACATGCTTACCTTGGGGATTCAGTGGCCATCTCCAAGTCTTATCGATGGCTCTCAGTCAGTCAGCAAGACTTACCTTTCCTGTTGTATACATATTCTTCAGACAGCTGTCTTGAAGAAAAACCTTTCTCTGATCCACGAGCCCCTGGTTTGGAAATGGAACATGTGGAAGATGCAATGTCAAGTACTTGTGGATGCAATGAATGAAGAAGGGTAAGATATGATAAGGACACAGAGAGTTTGGATCCCACCAGAAGGGTAAGAGCAGAAGCCTGGGAACCAAGACTGTGTTCCTGATACCAGTTAGGTCCCCTATCTCAGCAGAGAGAGGTTAGGAGGTTCTTGTGAACCCCCTGAACCTTTACACAGATTTCTCCACAGAGAGAATGTTGAGAATGCAGAGAATGTTGCTTTCACAGATACCACCAGGCAAAAGGTCCTGATCTGGCACTCAGGAAATTTGTGTAGGTGCTCTGGCAGTATATTACAGCTCTGTGTATGTTTTCATTTCTTCTGACCCTCACCTCTCCACCATGGGACTAGAAGATTCTTCCCCTCAGGGATATACATATTAATAATAGGAGAAGCAGTAATAGGAATAGCACATATCTACTGAGCATATTGCATAATATTTTCTGATAAAGGTTTCACATGTTTCATCTTTATTCACCTGCACACATCCCAAGGAGTTAGGCTCTTACTCTCCCACTTTTCCTATGAACAAAGTGATGAAGCAGTTTTCACAGGGTCATAGTTCCAAGACTAGAACTATGGGAACTGGGAACTCTGCCACTTCCCAGCTCCCAGGTCCGTGTTCATAAGTACAACATGAGGCAAGTGCTCTTCATGGGTTGGCCACCATGCCTGGCCCTGCCAGAACACTTTGAAATGCCACCCTTTCCTCTCACTCATGTCCAGCCTTGGTAGCATTCCCTTACACGTACTTTAAGACCACATATGGTCCTGGGAATGAACAGTAGTGGACACGGGTTTGGGATTCTAGAGTCCAACGAGGAACCCAGCAAGCCTCACAGTTCTGCCCTAGTGTAGCACGTGGATCTTCCTTTGACCGTGCAGTCTCTCCCACTACCCAGAGGAAGACCTAGTTGTAGAGGGTGGGTCAGTGCTGGTGATGGGATCCACATGGAGTGCTTTGATCTACTCACCCAACATCAAGGATGCTTTTTCCAGGGCCTTATGACGTAGATGTGTCAGGCCCATCTGCTCCCAGGTTTCTATGGCCAGGTTCCATCCCTCATGCTCCCCATACTGTGCCATCAACTCTGAGGCCACCTTTGCTCCCAATGTCTTGTCTGCTTGAGCTGAAGTTGCGGCAGGAAAAGTCCTACGGGGTGCTGAGCGGAAGAGCAGATCTTGAAACTTCCATAGCTCCTCTGCCTTTAGTTGATTCAAGTAATGGGCCAGTAGTTGCTTTAGCTCACCAGCCATTAGTGCTCTAGGAAGGTGAACCTGGAAAGAATGTTCATGGGGTGTGAGTGTGAATGGGCAGATATAAAGAGAATCAGGTAGGCAGAGAACTGGGCTCTCCTTACGTTAGTCCCTAGAATCTTCCAATACAAGACTCCCATTGGAATAATTTTTTTCCTGGTAAGCTCCTGTGCAGCTTTCAGTACCCAGTTTTGTAAACCCTGGAACCTTTGCTAATTGATGATACCTGGAGAAGTGAAGGAAGGGAAGCAGTAAGAAAAGCCATAGTGGAGGGGACTGAGAGAGGATTGAGCCATACTGATGGATCTTGAAGGGGACTGAGGGACACTGAAATAAATCAGATTATGCAGGGTTGTTGGAGCAGGGCCCAAATCTAGGAGGAAGGGCAATGGGGAACATGAATGAATGGATGGAGGAATGGGAACATCAGGAGTTGGGGTGTGAATAATTCACTGGTTGTTCTTCCTCAGCTATTCCCACTGCTTCAGATATTTCCTTCTTGACTCCTTGGGATCAACCCTTGAATGACTGAATGACTGGAGGTGGGAGATGCAGTGCAGGTGGTGGCTCAGAGCCCCAGAGGGTGCTTATGGCTACGCATTTGTGATTCTTTTCAGAACTCTCCTGGCTCTGGAAAACCAACCAGAAAGAGCAACACTGTTTTGGCCACAGCAGGAAGGACAAGTTACCCAGAAGAACCCCGGAATGGCACCCCTATGGGAGGGCCAGGAAAGGCCTATGTCACAGCAGATATGGATGGTTATAGTGTAAACATGCACACAACATCCTCCTACCTTTCCCCCAGGGCAGTGGTGACCCACCTATGGGACATGTGCCATTGTGTTTTTCTTCTAATAGAAAAGATGTTAATGAAGAGCAGTTTTTTTCTAAAGTGAATGCTCAACATTCAGGCTTAATTCCAGTGTTGGCATCTTGTGATATTGATGGAGACCTCTATGAAGCGGCTCTGAGCAGGATTTAGTATTAACTGATTGGCTTTTCATATTTACATGTGAGTTTGCCCAAGGCTGAGGCCTTTGTCCAGAGATGGGCAGCTCATTCATAGTAAATGAACCTCTATGAGTCACTGGTCACCACTGAAGCCTGTATTGGCCTGTGAAGTTGTGACGCCTCTAAGGACAAGATAAGGCCACAGCTGAGGCCTTTTGGTTCCAACCCCAATTAACTAAAAGGAGGCTATAGCTGCAGGCATTTCACTCCTGCAGTGAAGGCTTTCCTGGAGATAACATAGTTCTCCTAAATTAACGTAATGTATTACCTGGAGAAGTCCTTTAAGTGTTTCCCAAGTCCTGCCCAGATTCCTTCATTTTCTTCAGTATCCCTCTCCTTTGTTGGAAAACCAAATAAATGTGGGCCACCCAGGGAAGTTCTTTGCCTTAACCCAGAGAATCTCAAATTCTGTAAGGGAGTTGGACCCTCCTAGAGCACTAAAATGATTTCAAATATCTGGTTTATTTATGCCTTCCAGTCTACTCCTTTGGGAGATTGCAGGCCTGATCAGCCCACAATAACTAAGGGTTATTAACCGAATAATAAATAACTGAGTCTGAGGTTGCAGTTTGGCCTTTAGTCTCTAAAAGGTTTGCCATCACAGCCCTTGAGCATCCTGTAAGTGCATGGTGCAGACTTCACGTAGTCACTCGGAACCAAGACCCTGGCTCTCAAGGTTGAGCAGGATCTCCAAGTCTGCAAGGGCAGCTTCTTAGTGGAGAACATTAGTATCAGGCCAGGGAATATCTTTCCACCTTTTTATGGAATTCAGAACTTCCTGAGACTCTCTGTTCATCCTGCCATGCCACCAGGCCAGAGATACATGTGTCCCAGACCCAAGAACCGCATTGCAGGCAGTCCCGCACTCTGCTAAGAAACACATTCTTCCAACAGCCGTACAACCTCTTGCTCATCACCCAAAAGTCATGTACTGGGGAGCCAAGCAGAGATGTTCTTCCTCTTTCTCCAATCAGAGGAACTTGAAGACTCTAGACTGAAGAATGAGATTACACAACTCTTGTAAAATAACACCAGTAATTTCTGCACATGCCTTGATTTACCTTGGGCTAGAGGATTCCTGGCTTGAGGAGCTTCAACTTATATCCTGCTTACACACTTTCTCCCTGATTGGTTGATTTATTCTTGTGCATCTCAGTCTGATCATTTATGAAATAAGATATCATAGGTTTGGCAAGGGGATTCAATTTAGCAAAAGCCCTTGAAACACTCCAAATCCAAGCTCTTGTGCATACCACCTTGTTCCTCCCCCTCCACCCTTCCCTACTCACAGGCTGTTCATTTCAGTAAATGATAATTAGAGTCCCCAAACTGGGTCTTTGAATTCTAGCTGCTTCTCAAAACGTCCAATCTAGCAATTCCACCAATACCATTTTTTAACCGATTATTTTAAGTTTAGTTGCTTATACATCTTCCATTGGTTTGTGTGTTCTGTTTGCAACTTCATATTTCTCTTTATTAGTCTCTGAATGTGCTATTTCATCAGCCCGTCTTTATGCCCTAATATTCTTTCTTCCAGGTGATCTAGTCTACTTGTGAGACTTTCAAATGAATTTTTGTTTGGCTTATTGAGTGTTTCATTTCCAAGATTTCTGTTTGGTTCTTCTTCAGAATTTCTCTTGTTGAATTGCTCTTTCCTAACCTGTACTACCTTCCTTACTTTTATCTGTTAGAGTCCATTTCAGCCGTAACCCCAATGGCAAAACTATAAAAGCCAATCCCACCCCTGACAGACATCCTGCTCTAATCCACAAATGTGAACTCCTGCCTAAAATGCCCTGCCCACACAAACAATGTCTCCCACACATGTGAAAGTCATATCCACTCTGCCAAGATTTTCATGCCACCCCTAAGAGTCCTGCCCCTCTACCTCTATGTAAACCCAACCTCCTTGCCCCTTTGCACTGTCTCTATCCTTAGGGACTCACCAGACACCTCCACTCCAATAAAACTTCTCTGTTGCTGTGTCTTGCACCTATTCCTTCTGGTGACCTTACATTATCCTCTTTGAAATCACTGATCTTTTTAAAAATAATTTAAATTTTTTTCTGTCCAGCATGCCTTTGACTTTGATTTCTTTATATTCAGATACTGAAGAGGTGTAAACACTTAGAGGGCTCAGGTTGGCCTGTTTCTTCATATATTTTTGTGTTTCTATATTGAAATCTGTTCTTGCATTGGGATGGAAGTGTCTTCCTTTTTTATGCGAGGGTCTTCTTAATGAGCAGTCCTCTCGCGAGTGCTTAACTCCCAGTACCACTCAAAGAGTAGAAAAACACCAGAGGAACAAGGGTAACATAAATTAGACAGAGACATCTAGGGTGAAAATGTAAATCAACAGCCATAGCACCAACAAGAATATAAAAGAAAGGGACAAACTAAGAAGAAATAAACCTACAATGTAAAAATAATAAGAGTATAATGGTAAAATCAAAGGAAGGGCAAGTGGAGAAGGAGAAAGCAATGATATTTAAAAAAGGAAAAGGAAATAAGAGGAAGAGCAATGAGCAAGAGATAAAAATTCCAATCAAAGCTCCAAAAACTAAGACAATAAAATTCAATAAAAGAAAAAAAAATAAATAAAAGGAAATGAAAAGAAATCTAAGGCCAAAAATTTCTTCCTAGCTGAAGTGCTTGGACTGGAGCAGCTTCTTTCCAGGTCCTCAAAGGGTGGCTTGCACCAGGTGGAGGGAAGGGTAGTGAGCCACAGCTGGAGCCTGCTGTGGCTCTCTTGTGCTCTTTCCAGAGTGAAATAGGTGGGGGCTGTCTGAAGGCTACATTCGGCACCACCTTTCCCACAGGGTGAGTTAATGGCGTAATGTATTTTGCAGGGCCGCACTCATTTCTGAGGATTCTTTAAAAAATGCACACCCAGAACTACTTCTAGCCACTAAGAGCTTCAAAGCCTGTAGCACTTTTGTGCCTCACTCTCTCTAGGTGACACAGTAGGTGCTTACCCAGACATGAGCTGGCGCTGGGGAAATGACACCTGAACCTAGGAAAATGACACCAGCACCTGCAAGACACTGTGGGAAAGCTTCCAATTTCTTGCAAAAGGCTCCTTTGCTCCTTCACAGGTACCTCGCTTACACAAATAAGTTTGGGCTCAACCCATTCACAACTAAGGGATTGCCATTTAGACAAAATTAGGCCTCATTGACAAACATCTGCAATTGGTTTTGGTCCCCTTCAGAAGCTTCAGTCACCATATTCTTTCCAGTGAAGACTACATAAATTTAAAAACTCCTCCACCCAACAGAGAGGGGGGTTCACTATGGAGTGGAACAAGCTCAGATAGTCACAAATCCAGACCCTTCTTCAGATTCAAGCAATAAAAGCACCCTAGCTTTTGGAGTTGTTACCACATCTCTCTCTGCTCTCCTGGAACTCTCACAGGCCTAATGTCCTCAATAAGAATTAGATTTGCTTAAGTTTATACTTCTGCTGTTAGCCAATAAAAAGCTTGCTAAAAACTGCTACTTTGTCACTCTAAGTCCCCTTCTGTCACATCATTGCAGATCTTGCTTTTGAATTCAAAGAACAGAGAGAACATACAACACAGACACAATGCACAGCATCAGCCCTACTCAGAATGACCCCAATATCTGGTAACACAGGGGGCTGTGCGCACCAGACACTGTGACAAATATTCAAGTCAAGGCAAGTCCCTGAGTGCATCAGAGAGTGGAAGAAGCACATACAACTCTGTGCTTCTGACCAAGTTCAGTATAGACCGAGATCTGTACTCAAGGGGGTCGCCGATATAACCAGGGAATCTGCTGGCATCCCTCTGGGTGCCCTTTAGATCTGGCCCCTGCAGTAACCCACAAGTGATTGGACTTACTTCCTGCCACAGAGTGTCCAACTTCCGGCCACACTGTTTTCCCTAGCCAGAACTCCTGGAGCAAATTGCTACATGAACTTCTCAGTAGGTCTGTGACATAGCCTCTCCCTTTGTACCATGATGTCCCCAGCCTGTCTTTACCCAGTCGCTGGAGCAGGGCATCCCAAGGGATCCACGATTGTGGTTGTTCCATGTTTTCTGATCCCCAGAGTCACAGAGTCCCAAATAAGAGGCCCCATCTCAAGATGGCTCCTCGTTATAGCCCTCTAAGATATGGCAAATACTGTAATGGATTTCTTTTCCAAAGCTAGCCTGCCATGCAGGAGGAATCACTTTCAGACTAAATCTCTGTCTAGTCCTTGAAGCTTCTAAGAACAAGGGGTTTCTTCTGCAGCTAGGATTGCCAGGCTATTGTTATCATAGGGATGGCTGGGCTTACCTTGTGCTTGTAGGGTGGGGTCCCCCTCTCCTGTGAAATGGGTTTGTGGGGACAGACATAGGACCTTTTTAGAGGGTAGAAAATGTAAGCCCTGTGTGGCTATGCGCAGCAAACAGTGTTCCACCAGCTTTGTGGTTTGAAGTTGACAGGTTGTGGTTTCGACGTCTGCTCTGTGCAGGCAACACTGTCCCTCCCAGTGCAGGTTGCCATGTCTACTCACATGTTCCCGTCAGCCCACAAGACCAAACCCCCAGGAGAAGCCCAATCTCCAGTCAACGAAGTGTTCATCCTCAGCAGAGTGGAGAAGAGACCCAGGACTGCAGCCTCAGAGTCAGCGTTCCTCCAGCTCTGAGCACCCCGATTCCCCCTGAGTGACTTTGTACTGCTTTCTGCAGTACCTCCAATAAAAGTACTTTCTCTCTGCAAAGATCTTCTCTTATTTCTCTTCCTCCTTCTACTTTGGAGAGAAAGCCAAGCCTAGCAATGGTGAATTGGGGAACCCTAGACCCCAGACTCACCAAATGGAACAGATTAGAGGATGCCATCCAATTTGTACAATTTTTTTTCTAGTTCTTTATGCTTTTTACCTCTCCCATGCCCTCTTTCTAAATTCCAACATCATATGATGGACATTTTTTTTTCCATCACCTTACCCTGAAGCCTGACATTAAATCATGCATTTAGGAGCTGAGCGGGCAGATGCCCACAATGTGTAGTTAAAAGCAGGATAAAGCTTGGCATATATACTTTCATTTACATTTATTAGTTTCTTTATTAGTTTAAAACTTTGGGTCATATCTCTGCATGCAGGCATGTTAATAGTTAAGGAATATCTAATATATATATATATATATATATATATATATATATATACGATGGCTAAGATAATTGTACTATTAATTTCTGTTGGTTTATTGAGAGGAACAGTTAATGCTTTTTAAAATTTTGACCAGTTTTGCATGTTTATATCTTATAATCTGAACAACTCCTTTGAAGACAACAATATGTAATATAGCAACCATTGCTGAATTCCTATCATCTCATGTTTTGAAATTCTGTACAATTTCTAATTTTTTATTATTATTATTTTGTTCCCTTTAAAATAAGAAAAACTGGAAATACAAGGCATATTAATCTGAACTTTACTCAACCTAACATGTATCCTTCCAATTACTTATTGGCAACAAGGGGTTGAACTACATTAGAGCAGAAATCCTCCACTGCGATCATCCTGCCCAGTAACTATCCAGCAATCACAGGAAAATGTAGTAACTGAACAAAAACTACATAAGACAGAAACAAATTTTTGTTTTAACACTCGGCCATTTTTGCCAATGTGCCCTGATCATCTTCTCTAAAAGTTAATGTGTATACAATCCCTATATAAACTGAAAGGCTTTCTGGGAGGCTGGAAGAAACAGAATTGTTAAACTGCAACTTTAAAATAAAACTTTATGCACAATGCATGCACTCTCGGAAGATCTACAAGGGTGAAAAAAGACACTCTTGATATCATTAAATTTGCTGTCCCGGTCTCTTCCCATGTCCTCAAACCTTAATGAAAGCCACAGGGTGAGCACCCTGATGGAATGGTTGTTTTCTTTAACCCTTACCCACTGTCTCCCTTGAAAGTGTTCTCTATCTTGAGTAGTCTTATCTCTACTCTTATTCTTGGCAGCTACAGTAGCTTTATTGCCTGTATCACCTCCTCCCCAGGCCCGGCCCAGTCTTGCATAGCACTTTGCTGACCTGTAGGGAGACTCTCTTCTTACCTCTCTTGGGCTCACTTCCCTGTGGTGTTTGTGCCTGGTTGTGCCTTCTTTGTGCTACAGAAGTTCCCTGGCTGGGGTTACTTACTGTGGGATCTGAAGACCTCCGAGCTTAGACCCAAAGCACCAGAGTCCACCAGGTTATGAGCCAAGTAATTCCTTTCAATCCCTTGTAGAAAGCTCTACTTCCTGTTTAGTATTGAGAGACTCTGCCCGGGGCCACTAGCTGGCGGACTTTGGAAGTAGGCAGGAAACAAGAGGCCCTGCCTTGTCCTTAAGGGCATAGGCCGCTTTTCTTTTCTTACTCTTTGTGCACTGTGCAGTTGATAGCGACAGTTCATCCTGGTGAATCCGTTTATATTGTAAGCATTTCCTCTTAACTATTTCACTGCCCTTTGCTGATTCTTTGCTCCCGCTGGCCTCTAGCTTTCCCCTCTCAACTGAACTTCCTGATATAGATGACTCATGAGTGACCAGGTTTTCCATCTCTCCAGGATAGTAAGACCTGCTCCCCTTCCTCTTGTGCCCATCAGTGAACAGGCGCTGCTCACAAGTTCTTCCCTCTGGTCTCTTTCACTCTGATAATGGTACATGCCCCACTCAGAACAGAGTGTGAATATCTATTCTCAAGGGTTAGAGGTAGTCTTTTCTTGGGAGACACCTCATTTAAAAACACAGGTGCAGTGCCCCTGGGATGAGAGTTTTGTCACCTTTAAGGGAAACCTTCTGATTGCATACAGTAACTCCATAGGACAGTATGGTGGCAGTCTGATGTTCTTATCCATCCGACTTACCCTTTTGCTATAGTCTTAAGAATTGATTCAAAATTTTCATTCTCCATCTCTTACAAAGAATAAGTCTGACTTTCATATGCAATCTTACCTGGCTTCAGTGTAGGTTCCAAGAATGAGAACATTTAGTCTCTAAATTAGAAAACCATACTACAGCAGTAACAGGGGTGGGGGGCAGCAGAGACTGCCTGGATTGTGTACAGGCGACACAGCCTGAAAAGTATTGTGCCTGGGTGCGGGCAGGCAGAGAGCAATTAGCCTGTCTGCCCCAATAAATAGAAGTGTGTCCCTTTTATCGGGATGGAAAGAAGGCAAGGGATCTTAGGCAGGAAGATTTTAATAAACATCCACAGTCAAAATTCTCCGGCAGTCCTGCAACTCAGTGGGGAAAGCCATTGAAATGCCAGTGTAAATTCTTGGGTGTCTCCAGATGTCCCCAGGACAAGGACAAAATTCCTTGTCCTATCTCATTTCCTTTACAACATCCTGTGCTGGCTGATGAGTTCCCTGCTGAGTGTAGTGCTTCTGCTGGCAGGTAGGTTGGGGGCTGGGAAAGTCAGGTCCCATTTAAACTTTACATTTCTGTCTTTTAGTTATTATCCAAAAAAAAAAAAAAAAAAAAAAAAAAAAAAAAAAGAACAAAAAGAAGAGGAAGGGAAAAGGGCTGTAGTTTTTTTATGGCTTTTTCCTGTGTGACACATGAGCTGAGTGGGCAATCTAATGGGAGAGAAATTTTGAGGAACAGGCCTGTATCAAAGAGAAGGCAGCACCAGCATCTGTGTGTTGGTTATTGCTTGTATACCATCCTGTAAAAACAGAGAAAAGTCTGAACAGCTGTAGAAATCCAGACCTGGGGAGGGACTGGGATGGCCACATAGGTTGCTGGTGACATGGATATGTAGAGCCACCGATCTTTGACTAGGGTAGGATTGCAGCGGTTGAGCAAGGAATGAATTAATATTAAGGTTTTTTTGCAAGGTGATTTGGACTGATTGAAGATGTCAGCCATGCAAATTGGGCCAAAGGTCATAGGTAAGGGGAGGGGAGTTTAACTAGGGCTGTGGTAAACACAAGCGTGGGGAAAAAGTAGTTTATCGCTGCAGTAAGACAACTGAATTGGAATTTTAGTAAAATATCAGAGTAAGGATAAAAGGCAGTTGGGTGTTTTTGGGATTCCGGTCAGCCTGACAAATGTGGGGGAGAGATAATTGGCTCTAATCCTCTCAGAGCCTAACTGGAGACTGGGTATTGGTGCTGGGAGGACTTTACTGGGATGGTGAAAGGTGTTTGTCTGAGAGCCAGGGAAGGGGAGGAGGTGTCCCAGACCCTAGAGTTTAGATCTTGAGGAGGGGATGGGGGCTTTGGGTGAGGACAGAAAGGAAAGAAGAGAAAAGCTGAACTGACAGAAGGGTCTTGTGAATTGTTTAAGTAACATTGATTTAACAGGAAGTAAGTCAGGTAGTGAAGAGGCATGGAAAGACCAAAGAAATTTTCCAGGTAGGTGATGATCTGGGGTTTTGGTTGTTTATTGAGATGACTGATGTTTAGCTAGACTGTTATTTATCTTCTCTCTTAGGGAGTATGTAGGCCTGGTTTTTAAACTAGTGGCCACTACTCTGGTACAGAAAAGGCCAAAGAATGGTTCAGTATGGGCCAAACAAAAAAAATTGGCAAGGCTATTACGAATATAACTAACAAATGTTTTACTAGGAAGATCCCGTAATAGGCTTTTATGAAGAGTATAAGGAGAGGGTTTAGAGAATTTTAGAGTCTGATATGACCATAACCTGTCCTCTAATATTTTGTGTAGCCATAGAGATATTAGAAGGATCAGAATGTATATACAGCATTTGCCTTTTATAATGGCACAAGTATTTTTGGGTTTTCGTTAGAATGTCTAATGTTGTCTGATTTTGGAGTATAGCTTATCATAGGTATATAAATTTGGGAGAGGGAAAGGGCAGTCATGGTGTCTTTTACAGTGAAGAGCTGCTGTTTTGGAAGGCCTATAGATGAATGCAAAAAGTTTATTTATATTTTTGATTATATTCTTTGCTGGATATTTAAGACAAAGTTAAAATGAGAACTGTGTCACCTCTTGCTGTCTGTCAAGGTCAGGTAAGCCTCTTTAGGCATTGTTCTTGGAACCATGTATACAGCTTTCCAATCCTTCTGTCTGTTAGCTGCCATGATGGATTGTGGTCTTATTTGATCATGTTTTGGTGATCCTCCATAGGCATACTGCACATCTTATTGATCCCTGTGTTTTGGGGTTTATCAACCTTCCTGCTTAGGAAATTGAGTAACTAGCCAGAGTTGTAGGATCCTGTAGAGAATTGCTTTCTCATATCCTGGGTCTCTGTTGGAGGGCCAGGGCCAAAATACTGGCCATCCACTTAGCCCAGTTATCTGTCTAGATTTGCCCTCTATGTTTTAGTTGTTGAACACTCAGAAGAAAAAAGAAGATATCAGTTTAATTAGCAGATACAAAGCATAAGTGTAAATTGTTTGGTAGCTGTTGTCCCCTGTTAAACACAGTCATTGCGAGCTTTAGAGTTGAACCTCTTAGAGGGTATGGTTTTTTAATCAGGAGTTTAAAGTTAACTTTTGGTGAGTGGAAGAGCTCAGATGCTGACTGACCTGGCAGGGGTCTGACAGAGAGGGAGGATCAGAACAAGGGAGGCAGTAGTTTGGGCTGGGTGTGTGACAGAGTGACCAGTGGGCGTTGGGAGAGCACATGACCACAGGTTAGAGGAGCAGCAGGTAGCTTGAGCCTTTCAGCTGGGTGGGCCTTTGGAAGGTGGATTTGGGTGGGTTTGGGCTGGGTGTGGATCAGTTTGCTAGTGGAGGCAGGTAGCCACAGTGTGGCAGCAGCAGGGAGGTGAGAGGCATGGCAGGGAGGGGAGGGGTAGTGCAGTGCAGGCCAGCCAGGGAGGCGCCATGGCAAGCGCAGCTGGGGATGTGGTTTGCTGCACTCCAGGTGCTTTGACAAGGAATAGGGTAAGGGAGCATGTTGTATAGGCTGGTGTTTATTTTTACCCTGGCTGGGCTCCCACATGGGCACAGACCATGGCTGTATGCACAGGTACTGTACTCCTGCTGTATTGGATCTTGACTTTTATGGTGGTGCGTGTTTGCTGTGACCTGTCACCAGGGCTGTGAAGGTGGCAGGCAGGCTTTGAGCAGGGCTGGCTGGGCACACCGGGTGGGGGAGTTTTGGCACTGGGGTGGTGCAACCTGGAGTCTCTGGCCTGGGACTGGCATACAGGCAGGTGAAACAGGGTGGTGGTGTGCACACCCTTGGCCCAGCCCCTGGGGGCTTGTCTCAAGGAGAATAACAGTGTTGAGAGGGAGTTGGCATGGAAAAAACCAAGGAGTAATTGGCAACAAAATCATTATTTAGCACTTTATATGTCTATAGTAAAGGTTTTAAAGTCCCCAACTTATTAGTATCGTTTAAAAATCTTACTTACCTCCAAAAAAGCAAAGGACAATGTGGCAGGAAAAGATCAGAAATGAGACCAGAGGAAGGAAGTCTTTTGTCCTCACTCTCATGGTGAGTTAGTGAAACAACTTGCCCAGGAGTCATGAAACAACTTGCCCAGTCTCAGCCTGGAAAGGTGAGAATGGGGAATCTTAAGAGCTAAGATTGTCTCCTCACTGGCGGAAGATCAGATCAGAAAGGACACTGAGGCAAAAGAGGCTTGACACGTCCTCTAGAATGTAGAGGAGGATCAGGTCAGTTTGTCTTGGTGCAATTTCTCTTCCAAGTCTTGAGAATGGACACCAACCTAGCATCTTTTAACTGGTGGAAAGACTTCCATGGTTTATTAATAGGCATGTGTTATGGTTTATGTCTGTGTGTCCTCCCAAAGCCTCATGCGGCCATGGGGCAGGCTTTTAGGGTTTGATTATGGGTGTGAGAGCTACACCCACCCTGGGGTGGATAGTTTGCATATGTAAGGGAGAGGAAAAGAGTGCTTGAGGCCATTCTTCCCCCATTCCTCCCTGGTGTATGCTTGTGGCTTTTGCTGTGGTCTGCCACCATGAGCTGTAGCTCTCTGCCATGTGCCACTCTTCCTTGTAATCTGCCAAGTACGGACTGAACCCTCCACAAATTGTAAGTGAAATAAACCTTTCCTTCCTTCATTTTGGGCATCAGGTATTTTGTCCCTGCAACGAGAGAGAAAAGTAACCGAGACAGCATGTAATATATATGTGTAGATTTTTTCATGGTGCTGTCTAAGGTAAGATTAAAACTCACAGCAATCACAAGTTAAACAGTTTAAATGAGTCTAAATATAATATGCATAAAACAGGAATACAAGACCTTGTCTGCAAGAGTAAAATATCCTTTTCAAGAAACATCATAAAGTGATTTATCAATGGCTCGAACACTGGCAAACAGGAATGATAATTATGATTACCTAATATAATTTAGCAATCAAGAAATAATAGCTAACTCTTATCTCCTCTGAATTATTGGTTATGGAAGAA